CCTCCTTGGCTAGTGTGACCATTCCGGACTCAGTGACCGAGATTGGGCCTAGCGCCTTTGCGTCGTGCATCTCGCTGGCAAGTGTGGCCATCCCGGTCTCAGTGACCAAGATTGCGGATGAAGCTTTTGCTGAATGCAGTGCTTTGACTTTGGTCGTTTCCACTACTCGGATCCAGTTGGGAGTTGACGCCTTCACTGGCTGCAAACGGATTCTGGCAAAAGAATGTGAATGTCAAGAGTGCGAGTACTGGTGGTTTCAGAATGGCTGGGTGTGTCCGAAACAACGGTGGCGATCTTCACAGCATGATTGCTCAGAGCCAAGTACTTGAAGAAAGCCAAGTACTTTCCGCACAGCGTGGTGTTGTGTCAATGAACTTGCCAGACGACACGCTGGGTCAGTCGGCCCTGGGTCAGCGGCTGCATCGAGTAATTACAGCTGGTTTCTGAACGGCTGGGTGTGTCCGAAACGACGGTAGCGCTCTTCACAGCATGGCCGCCATCACCGCGGTGACCCACCAAGGCCGCCGTTGCCAAGAGGCTGTTTGAAGCAATATAGCTATATGTACATCATGTCCAAGAGGCACAGCCATAAAAATAACACCGAATATTGATAGATACCGATCGTACTTTGACTGAACCTTTGCCACAAGTGTACTACATCATGTCCATTTCTATTCTGCCCTTCCAGCTCGGCTTTCATTGAGGGCTCCTCTTGGTGAAAGCTGGGCGGAAAAAAAAAGAGACCTTAGTGGCGGAGCTGGGCGGAGCTTCATGGGACCCATATCATACGCCACGCGAACCGTCGTCCTGCCGGACGAGAGAAACCGTGAGAAACCGTTCGACCGGTGGAACAGGCGGTTCCAGGCTTGGCCTCCACCAGATGTCACGTCCACGTAACGGACACGTCGGACCGACCTATCGGTAGAACGGTAGAACCAGGTAGTGCGCCCGGACATTTCCCCACCCCGGTGGTCACAGTGACCTGGGTGGGTCACTTCCTTTGGGTGGGTCTGGGATCATTGCTTCGGGCGAACGATTCGGTGGGGTGCCGAATCCGTAGCTGGAGCGAGCGAGCTGGAGCAATGCCAGAATGGGAACTCAGTGGAGAAACCGTGAGGAAAACCTTTCAAAACCATGTGATCACATGCAAAACCCGAGTCGTCGACCCAAGTCGACCGACCCAAAGAGTGGGGTTCCCCAACTCGACGGAGAGTTTTGCAAGAAGGCCGAGAACGCCCTGCCGATCGCCCTGCTGCAAGCACACAGCTCAAGAATCTATCAAGAAATGTGTTCCCTTGTACATCAATGAAGTCAAGAGTCTACCAAGATCCTTTCAAGATCGACGTGGTCCTGACTTCCTGACTTCTCTGCTTCCTTTCTCCTTCCGTCCGACCGTCGGGGGCGACTCGACCGCGAGGAGCTTCCGCATCGGAGCCTGGAGCCCGACCTGGTGAGCTTCAACACGGTGCGGCGGCGGTTGCGGCGAAGAAGCACACCGGATCGGGGTCGGGAGCCGTTCGGAGGCGGAGTGGCAGGGATCCTGTAAAGGCCAGGTGTGTGTTGGGAGAGGTTTGAGGATGT